CGATTTTCGAGTTATTGAATGAATAAAGTAAATATTATTCTATCATTCATCTAATCGTCATTAAAAAATTGTTAAAATAAATAAATTAAACTAAGTTAAATATAATAATTTAATATTAATATATATTAAATAATAATATTTAATAATAATTTAATTTTTTCACATATTTCACCTTAACAAAAATTTTATTTGTAGCGAACCAATGATTCCTCCTTGACAAACTTTTGAATCCGCTAATGAATGATCTAGAAGAATACATCAATAACACCGAGCACTCAATTCAACTATCGAGTTTGAATGCATTGATGAATGTCAAGTACCATTCTCGACGCGGGACGTCGACACACTGTCGGGGCAAGTGATTCTGTGCTCAAGATCGATGGGCTCGCCTTGGATCTTGATCCTGGGACGCTTCTGCTGCAAGAAATAGTCCTCCGACACTTGTCGCGACAGTTGTTCGCCGTGATTACTCTCGTCCTCAGTATCGCTATTGACCTCAATCTTAATCTCCTGTTCCGGTTCTAAACAAATACTTCTATAATTTTGTGCAAAGCAATTTTTCAAAATTAGCAATCGAAAACTCGGGGAGGGAAAAAAAAAGAAAAAAGAAATCACGATGGTCAATATATTTCAACCTGGCGTTTCCGTGGGTAATGTCAATTTATCCAGGATCGCCTGTATCGCCATTCGATTCAGTGGATTCTCATTGTCCTGACTGTCGTCCGAACGATCGGTGTTCTCGGAATCATTCTTGCGCACGCTTTCCATCAGCCGCCACACTTCGATTGAGAGATTCGGCGGACGAGATTTGGCGGCCACATCCGGTCCCAGAGTTCGTACCTGCGCGTGATCAAAGGCGGGGAAGAAATAAGAAAAAGAAAAGAGAGTTTAGAATGATGACCAATCGTTCCAAATTAGGAAGGCCAGTCCCGAATTTTAGTCCCATTTTGTCTCACTTTAAAACATTTCAAATTTTGTCCTAAATTAACAATTATAAATTGTCCCTCTTCTAAATGTGAAAATAATAAACGTAAAATATAATTTTCAATATAAAAAATTTTGATTTTTTTATTTAAAAACTCAGGTATCTCATTTAAAATACATTCAGGAGGGAAGTATAATTTTAAAAAATAAAATGTGATTTCGTGATTTGAATAATGTAATTTTTGTTGTAACCTCATGTAATATTACATATTAAGTGTTGTTCATTATTTACAAATATGACTGTTGTTCATATGCTTCATTAACAATTATAAAAAAATGTGTATCCATTAGAATTTAATTATAATTAATTACAATATTGAATTTTTTTTAATATCTCTCTCTCTCTCTCTCTCTCTTTCCTTTTTAAGATTCATTAAGATCATCTTAATTTAAAGATGGAAGAGGTGAAATGCCTCTCGAATAATATTTTATGCAATCTAAACGCAGTCACACCTTTTCGGCGTACGAGAACATCTCCATCCTCGCCTGCGCCTTCATCCTCCGCCACTGTTCCTTGATTCTGGTGATGTCCCGATCTGCCGAGAATTGGCCGCGGAACGCGCAGTAAATCTTTTGCCAGGCAACAGATTTCTTCGCGGACGCGGCCGCGTCGATTTTCTTGTTCTCGATCGCGCTCACATGATGCTTGATCAGAGAGAACAGGGCGCTCTTCTCCTCGGGGATCCAATTCTGCGTCCTCTCCCTTTTCTTCAGCAGCACGGTGGTCGTTTCGCTCGTCGTCGACATTCTCTTGCCTTTTTCATGCGTTAATTAGCGTTAATTTAGCTAATCTACGGAACTAGTTCAACCCACGTGTATACAAAACATCTGTTGTCGCGCATTGATCCGTCACTGTTTTGCGGCCCCCCGTTTGCTTGTTTAAGCGCGGTTTTAGAACCGTCAGCTGTTTAGTTGCTACCGGAGCGGTGCGTCTACCGAGTGTCACAAAAGTCACCGCGATTACATCTAGTCGGAGTTACTGTCAACTATTCGTAATTATCTCTCTCCGCTTGAGTTTATCCGTGAGATAATAACTCTCGTCGTTTTAATCCCGCGTGCGAAGAGCCGTGAGTCAAGTCGAGCGGTTTTTACACGTAGATTATCTCGATGCTCTCTCTCTCTCTCTCTTATAACATTCTCGTTTTATAATTTTATAATCGGACAGAATTTATGAAACGCTTTCACGTTTTACACGCGAAATATTTCGATATCGGATTAGATTCGCCGCATAAGGCACGTAAAACGCGAATGTCGTGACACGTTACGCGAGTAACGTCAGATTAACTCAACGGAACGAACGC